AACAAGACCATGATCTGGTCTCACAAGCTTTCTTCCATCGGAAAGCATTGACAGTTTCCCAAATGTGCCAGGCTCTCTGTCTCCTCTGGGTCTTTGTACATATAGTGTCCTCTACTGAGAATGCCCTTCCACTCACTTTTTTTTTCTTCTTCTTTTTTTTTTTTTTTTTTTGATAGACTGAGGTTTGAACTCAGGACTTCCTGCTTGCAAAGCAGGTGCTCTACCATTTGAGCCATACCTCCAGTCATTTCTTGATATTGCCCCCTAACTCCTTATCTACTCTGATTATCTGTCAGGCAGTGCACTGGGTGTTACATATATATTCTTCTTTTCTCATAACAATTACTTTGAACTCAGTCACCAAATTAGCACATGTAATGAGGGAGGTGGCACAGTACAGGGCTGATCTTTGGTCAGTCATTTCTAAGATGGTTCTAGAAATTAGACTGTTGATTATAAGATGTCTACCACTGATCTGTAGAGTCCTCAAGAATAACCTTCAGTGTTTCTTCACCCTTTTCCCAGTCATCACCCCCTCTCCCTCGTACTTCTTGTTGATTAATCTTTCAGGTTAAGGTGACCAATTGAGTATTGTCCAACATTTTATTTGTACTTAATATTCTCTGCCATGTGTGCTATCTAAATTTACGTGATCTAATGTAGAATATTTATTTTACTTTTATTAGCATATATTAATTGTTCAAAATAATAGGTTTCTTAATGACATTTTCATACATACATATAACATACTTCTATTCACTCCCTTATTACTCTCCTGTCACCTGTCTCCTTTCCCTCCCCCTGGTTCCCTTCCTCTTCCCAAATTAAGATAGAAGGATATTTAGATGGACAATTGCTCACCAGTGTAACACGTGCTCAGCCATAACTAAGTTTAGTCATTATTGTATTCCCTAATCCCATGTTAGTGCCTGGCATATCACAAGACTGGTACAGTTGGTATGTATTGAGTAATAATGATTTTATGAAATAAACACAGAGCAGTTAAAAATATGCCTCAAATCACACAGATGGTAAGGGATACAGCCAGGATAAGAAACTTAAATAGAGACCAGGCTTGGTGGCTCAAGCCTGTAATCCTAGCTACTCAGGAGACAGATTGGGAGGATTTTGGTTCAAGGCCAGCCTGAGCAAAATGTTTGCAAGACCATATCTCAACCAATGACTGAGTACATTCTACAGAGGGAAACACAAATAAGAAGGATCAAGGTCTAGGCCAGCCTGGCATAAGGCAAGACCCTATCTCAAAAATAACCAACGTTTAAAAAAAAAAAAAAGGGCTAGCAGAGTGGCTCAAGTGGTAAAACATCTACCTGGCCAGTGTAAAGCCCTGAGTTTAATCCCCAGTACCATACCCCTTGCCCCCCCACACACAAAAAATCTAAGCAGAATGGCTCCATTATTAATAACTGATGAAGGAAGAGAAGGAGGTGGGGGAGAGAGTATAGGAACAAGTGAGCAAACCAAGATGAAAGTCTGCTGTAGGTCACTTGGGATCCATAGGTGAGATGGGTTGGTTCTACTTGGAAAGGAAACATCATGGAAAGTTCCTAAAGGGTGTGATGCTTAAACTGAGTAGGTATCACTGGCTAGGGCAGATCAGGGAAGTATATTAGACACTTTCACCTTCTCAAGGACATTTGTTATACCTCGACAAATGGGACATCATACTCTGTCCTGATTATTATTCTGTTCACTTACTGTTCTTTCATGCTCCTCACCTCCCCAATGTTGACCTTTCAATTCACTATCAGTCAGGGCAGTGACTCTCCCTTGTGATTGAATCCAGACTTGAGCCAGGTGCTCAGAGTCTCCAGTTCTAGCTGCCTGCCTCTGCCACCTTGTTTTTCCCTTAGCACTCTGTGTTGCTTCAGTGGACAACCAGCCCCTCTAAATGTGCTTCCTCACCATATCCTCACCACATCCTTGGAAGTATATGGTTCGAATTGCACAAGAAGAAGCTGAGAATCAGATTTCCATCACTTGCCCAAGGTCACACAGCTTGTCAGTATCTTCTGTGAAAGATTCTGATTCCAGATCCAATATTCTTTCCATTTACAACTCGTTGCTTAGCCTGATTCCTCAAACTGAGCTCTTCTGAGCAAAGCAGGGGAGTGGAGATTGGGTTCCTTCTTTTGGGTTCCAGTCTAGGCATCTGGATTTCCTCTGTAGAGCTTGTGGTTTACACTGTTCACCCCAGGGGCTTAGTAGTCACGTTCACAGCACAATGGGCACTCTTACTGGTGAAATGCTAAGTCTCTCATAATGAAAGGCCAGCTGCAGAGAAGGAGAAGAACAAGGGCTGAATGATTTGATCAGACATCTGTGAGGGCCTCCTGGCATTTGGAGTGTGAGTGCCTTAGAGAAACTAACTATTCTGGCCTGAGGGAGTTGGTGACCATTAATCTTGGTGGTTTTGACCGCTGACTGCCCCAGAGGTCCCAGCTTGCTGTATGACTCAGAATCCCCAACACTCCCCCTATTCTTCTCTCACTGGGACAGTCAGGAGGCCATTTCAAAGGCATTTTAATTTGGTATTAATTGACATGGCCCACTGTACCCAGACTTGCTTTCTAAATGATGGTTGATTAGTGCTTATTATCCCTGCTATATGACTACCTTGTACTGCCACAGGAAGAGCAGTCTCCTGCCTCCCCTGCTAAGTTCTGGCTTGCTCATACTCCACCTGGCCAGCACTCTGTCTTCTCTATTGTGGGTGATCTGAGCCACAGCCCTTCTTCAAGCACCTACTTGAAGGGCTGAGAGTATGTACTGGGGAGAGGAGAGATGGGGCCAGAGGTTCATCTGTTGTGTATTTATTTCTGCAACACTGTATTAAGAAGGGAAGCTGCCATCTATCCTCCAACTTCTTTATGAAACTTTTTGGAATTCAGAAAAGACCACAGGAACTCCCAGTACAAGTTGAGCATACAGAGGGTAGTGGATTTGGAGACATGGCATGAATGATCTCAAAATGCCACAGTACTTGTGTACATACTTTCAAAGAGCAGGATGAAGCCTTCTTGACCCTCTTCTCCACCTATCTCTGGTCATGTCAACTGCTCTAGTGCTAGTGCTGGGCTCAGTGCCATCTTCTATGATCACGTTGTTGGTAGTTTCATGGCAGTAACTCCTGTACCGAAGCGGGTGCAATTGCAGTGCTTATCCTTACCAGCTGCGTGACCCTGGATATGGCTCTTCATCTTTCTGAGTCTCCCGTGTAAATTAGTAATGCACAGCACCCACTCACAGGATTGTTGAGAGGAGTTGCTGAAAACAATCTAGTGCTTTAGTCAGTGTCTAGTCCAAAAGCTTCCAGTAAGTTCAGTAATTGCACTTTTTAGATTTCATTTCCAAAATACAGCTATTTACATAAGAAAATAGTGTTTTTCTTCTGTTAAAACCTTTGACTTTCTTTTGCCTACCAAATAAAGTCCCAGCTTGTCATTCAGCATTTACATTTGCATTTCAGGCTTTGGATTTACTTGGTAGGGAACATTTAAAAATGTAGATTTCTAAAAGAAACACCCATGGATTAGTACAGGTTAATTTATCTGTATTCAATAAGCAGTTACTTATGTAAAGTCCTAGACTAAGACCCCAGGGGTGAATCAGACATGATACCCATCAGACTGTGGCACCATCATTTTCTGGCTGTTCAGTACCAGTACTACTCCCAATGCAACCCCCTCATTCCCTTCAGAGTACAGCATTGAAGACCAGCTTGCCATTAAGCCCAGCCCAGCCAAGCAGCTGGCTACCAGAGAGTTGGCAGTAGGCCCAAGGGTGGGGGTGGAGGAGGGTGAGACTCAGAACTGGCAGCCATCCAGGCTCACTCAGGTGCCCCAGCAGGCAGGGCCTCTAGCCCCAGTGGTCACTGGACCCATTCATGAAGATGTCCTAGTCTTCTCTAAACTGCTTAGGGCAGAATTGTGATAGAGGGCAATGACTCCAGTCCCACATTGAACACATAAGGACATTGAAACCAAGGGTGGCATAGTTACAGTCACATAGCAGCAAAGCCAGGGCTGAAACACAATCTTCTGAAAAGTATTCAGTCTCTGGCTCATGGCTTCCTTAGATTGCCTTGTCTGTAATTTGGAGTACTGGAAGACTGTCAGTGTTGTTCTGTTTTTCAGAAAGTTATGGGGGTCTTGTGTATGCTCATCTCTGTTTGCACCTATACAAGGTGCTTGGGATGGGGGGAATCAGACTCTGATCTCAGGGATTTGCAGTACAGTAAGAGAGACATACTACTAATAATTACCCTACAGGATGGTAGTGCAGATGGGGGTGACCATGTGATATGGATGGCAGGGAGAGAGACTATAAGAGCAGAGAGGCACTTAGCTCAATCTGCAGCTCATGAAGTTATTCCCAGTAAAGTTAGCATCTGTGTATATTGGTGAAGACCTGGTATTAGCCAAGAGGAGAAGGACAAGTAATAATTCCAGGCAGAGAACAGAACATTCTCAACTGTCAGTCAGTCAGGGGCATATCAATAGCCCAGTAAGACACATTTATTGCATATATATTCAGGCCACTATGAATGGTTTCCACTGAGTGTCTCATAGTGGAGTGGAGAGAATAAAAGCACAGGAGGCTGGACACATGAAACATGCCAGAAGTTGGAAAGGGTAGTGCCTCTAGCTATATCACAACTCAAGCAGCTCTATCCTGAAGCCCTCCAAGTGCTACCTGTACAGTCTTGGAGCTTAGATGGAGGTGCTGATTTCCTCAATCCGTTTAAAGCCTATATGTTCCTTTTATAGATTCCCATGGGGGCCTGGTTTATGGATCTATTTCTTTAGGGATGTGTGAGTTTTCCACCCCTATACCCTTAGTATGGAAAGGGCCTGAAGTACCAGTTGTAGGGAATGAAGCTTTTATTCAAGTCTTTAGCCCCTGTAGTTCTTCATAAATTAATAACCCACTGGCTGCTCAGTACCTGGCAAGTTGTGACCTTCCTTCTCTCCCCACAGGCCTGCTGAGTTAGCCACCAAGTACGCAAACTTTTCAGAGGGAGCCTGCAAGCCTGGATATGCTTCAGCCCTGATGACTGCCATCTTTCCCCGGTAAGTGCTCCTGTTTTCTCAGCTGCCTGGACAGCTTGGTCCATGGCCCAGGAGTCAGAAACCTGGCCTCTCACAATGCATCATGTTCTCCTGAGGAAACAAGATTCTGTTGTCATACCATGGAAGCTAGGTATCCACAAAACACACACACGCCACAGAGCCTTGTTTCATTTATTTCTGTTTGATATAGTCAATTATTTAAAATGATCCCAGAACTAGAGCTTCTGAGACCTTTATAATTTCCTGAGTGACAAGCACACAGATTATATAAATGACCAACAAACATCTGAAAAGATGCTTAGCATCACTAATTAGGGAAATGCAAATTAAAACCACAGTGAGATACCCATTAGAATGACTAGTATTCAAAAATAGAAAATTACAAGTGCTGGTAAGAACATAGAAAAATTACAACCTTTGTGTACTGTTGGTGAGAAAAGTAAAATGGTATAGCCACTATGGAAAAGAGTATGACAGTTTCTTTAAAAGATTGATAGTAGGATTACCATATGATCCAACAGTTCTTCTACTGGTTAACTACCCAAAGTAATTGAAAGAAGGAAGTGAAAGAAATAATTTGTACACCCAAGTTCATAGCAGCATTTCTCATAAATTGCCAAAAGTTAGAAACAGCCCAAGTGTCCATTAGCAAAATGTGGTATATATTATAGTGGAATATTTTTCAGTCTGAAAAAGGAAGGAAATTCTGACAAATTACATGAGTGAACCTTGATGACATTATTCTAAATGAAATAACCCAGTCACAGATGGACAGATTTTGTATGATTCTACTCATATGAGGTGCTTAGAATAGTCAAATTCATAGAGACAGAAAGTAGAATAGTGGCTGCCATATGCTGGGAGGAGGAGGAATAGGGAGTTACTGTTTAAGGACTATAGAGTTTCAGTTTTGCAAAATGAAAAAGAGTTCTGAATATTAGTTGTACAACAATGTGAATGTACTTAATACTACTGACATACAAAAAAGAACTAACATGGTAAATTTTATGTTGTATGTATTTTACTATAATTTAAATATTTTAAAGTTTTTTTTAACAAGGGGAAATCTTTTATGCTTATTCACAAACTTTTTTTTATTGTTGATCTTTCTTCCTTTGTGTAGATACATGTTTTCATCTGGGATCCTTTTTCTTCTGCCTGAAGAACCTCTTTTAACATTTTATTGTGGGGCAGATCTGGTGACAAATGAAGTCCTTTTGCTTTGGTTTGTCCAAAGAAGTCTTTATTTACTTTTGGTTTTTGGTTTTAGGTTAGATATATAATTCTAGGTTTACAGTTTCCTTCCCTCCCACTCCACAGTACTTTAACAGTATCTCTATTTTTTTTAAGCACAGATAATTTCTGACAAATTGCCTTCTGTCAGTCTTCATTCTTTTATAGTCGTATTCCCATTTTCTTGTAACTGCTCTTGAAATCTTTCTCTTTACCATGAGTTTTAGCAATTTGAATATGATATACCTTGTTTTGGTTTTCTTTATATTTATTTGGCTTGAGCTTTATTTTGCCCCTTGGTGGTTAGATTTATAATTTGTTTTGTCTGATTTTTCTTTTGTAATATCTATTCTACACCCAAGTTCTTACCAGCATTATTCATAATTGTTAAAAAGTAGAAACAATGATCAGGTGTACTTTTATTTCAGATACTGTGTTTTAATCTCTGTAAGTTCCATTCCAGTCTTTTTATGTCTTTCATTTTATTCTTTATTATCTTCATGTTTTCTTCTGCATTTTTGAGCATATGAAACATTTATAATAGTTGTTTTAACATCCTTATCTGCTAATTCCATCATCTGTCATTTCTAGGATGGTTTCTACTGATTGATTCCCCATCACTACTACCACCACCCATTTTTCTGATTCTTTGTATGCCTGGTAATTTTTATTGAATTCCAGACATGCAACTTTTGCTGTTTTTCTGTACTAGATTTTTGTGTTCCTTTAAATAGTGCTAGATTTTGGTTGGGAATGTAGTTAAGTTACTTGGAACCAGTTGTATCCCTTTGAGGCTTCCTTTTAACATTATTAGGGCAGATCTTTATCAGCCTTTTGTCTAGGGCTATTTTATCCCCATTCCTAATACAGTATTCTGAAAATATACCAAATGCCTTCTGTGTTATGAGGTAATTTCACTCTGGCTAATTAATTTCCACTTTTGTTTGTGTGAATACAAACAATTCCTAGTCCTGTGTGAACATCAGGAATGGTTTGGTCTACTGCTTCCTGGTTTTTGTTTCCTTAGGCTCCAAGTTTCCTCTTATATATGTACCAATCAGTACTTGGCCAAAGAGAGAGCCTTTGCAGACCTACAGAACTTTTTCTGTTGCTCTCTCTTCTACAGTATTCTTTTCCATGAAGTCTTTGACCTTCCTAAACTTTGTTCTGTTTCCTCAACTCAGAAAGGCCACTGAGCTTTATTTAGATTCCCCCATCCCTATACTGCACCAGGCAGTAAGCTAGGCAATTACGGGAATAACTTCATTTGTTTCCCTTTTCTCAGGAGATAGTTCTGTGCCACCTGTTATCCAGAGTTTAAAAGCCATTGTTTATTATATTTTGATTTTTTTTTGTTGTTGTTTTTTAAGATAGGAAGGTAAAAGCTGTCCCTGTAATTCCATAGTGGCTGGGAACAGAAGTTCCCACATATTTTTTTCATAGAATTTCATCGTATAGGTGTACTGTACGATGTATAGTTAATCAGTTCCCTTTTCATGGACAGTTAGACAATTTCCAAACTTCAGTAATAGAAATATTACTTCAGTGAATAAACTTATGTACATCATTTCCCACACATACAAAACTATATAGAATAAAGTGATATTTCTAGGCTAAAAGCTATAGGCATTTTTAATCTTGACAGTTATTGGCAAGTTGTCCTCCATAACAGTTTTTTAATTTACCTACACACATTGTTGCTTATGATAGTGCCTTCCTCTTATTTTCTTCCCTATAGTTTTATTATGTATCTTTACATAATAAAACTTGAACTCAAGCCTACACCTTGAACCACTCTACCAGCCCTTTTTGTGTTAGGTATTTTCGAGACAGGGTCTTGCAAACTATTTGCCTGGCTGGCTTCAAAACACAATCCTAATCTCTGCCTCCATAGTAGCTAGGATTACAGGCATGAGCCACTGGCGCCCAGTTTAATTATTCCAGCTTTTTTAAATTGGCTTTGTGGTTTATTTGGTTTTTTTTTTTTCTTTTGGTAGTACTGGGGTTTGAACTGGCACCCAACTATCTTTACAGCTTTATTGTTTATATATATATAAATTGTTAATCCATCAATTTGGTTGGGGGGGGTTGGTGGCAAGAGTAAGGTTTGGAATTTAGGTTTTTTTGTTTTCCCATGTGGGTAACTAGTATTTCTTGGTATTTTAACAAAAAAAACACAAAATAAATTCAAGTTTTTGATTCCTGTAGCATCAATATTTTAACAGAAAAAGTCTCAATGCAACAGTTTTGATGTGTGTGTTTTGACATGACCCCCCCACCCAAAAAAAACCCCATTAAATCTTCATTGTTCATTTTTTTTGTTTTTGTTTTAAATTTTTATTTTATTCATATGTGCATACAATGTTTGGGTCATTTCTACCCCCTTCCCTCATCCCCTCCCTTACACCCCCCCCCCGTCCCTCCCTCTCCCTCCAACCCCCTCGCTACCCGGCAGAAACTATTTTGCCC